CTATATCAGGAATATATTTCCCATTGATCAAAACTATCATGAACCTACGCATATGTTATTACATTAGAATTACCTTTTACCATTATAAACCTAATTATTACTAAGAAAACATCCTATTGGTTTTTATAAAATTATGATAACTTGTTGCAAACATAATCTCAAAATCATTCAGTGTATATGATTTATAGAAGTTCTCAGGGGTGTCCGTCAATAATATTCATTTCTACAGTAATTTATATATAATTTCGAATCTAGGAATCAATTTTTCATAATTATTAGTCTTTAGGCCAAACATGTATGGAAGCTGAGCAATCTCCTTTGAAGTAAATCCATGTAGTGAGTTTATCCCGGGCATACATACAGACAAAAATTCTAAAAACTATATTTTTGGCTTCGGTATCGATTGTAGATCAAAGTATTCTTTTAAAAAATATTCAATCTACAGTTTTGACTTTCCTACCATTTTATTATATGTATAGATTATAATATTAACGTAGTTTTAAGGACTTACTAACATAACGCCGTACAATAAACATGTGTCCATAAAACATCTCTCTCATTCCTCTTCGCCGAAACCACGACCAAGGGGAGCTTCCTCCACCATGCCCCCGACTGATCTACCATAGCACCAGGCGACTCTAAGGCCCGTATTATAGAAAGATTCTCAGTGATTGATCTAGTCTTGAGCATAGTTAGAAAGGGATGTCGCTGTATATAGCACATAGCGACATCCCTTTCTAACTATACCTAAGTAAAGATCAACACTTAGTTGTCATTCTGTAATACGGGCCTAAGACATCCTAATGTATTACATGGTGAACCTATAACAACTTTTTTTTTATAAATACTATCCGCTAAAAAAACTTGCGAATACCCTCTACGCTGTTAAGTGCGGAACCGCGAGATCCCCGATGCGGGACTTCACCGCGTCTCCGCGCCCAACAGCCGGCTTGCCGGGGCTCCGCGACAGGGATCACGGGAGGAGGTACTACGGGAGGACCCTATAACACCTACAATATTACAAAAATATCAACAACGCAATTTAAAATAACATTGTTCATTTCCTTGGTTTTACCTTATTTAAGCTCCATTTGTTATGTCTAGATCGGAGGTAGAAATGAAGTATAGAAACATGCAACTTTCGCCTTCTTATTCAGTTTTTATTTTAGAGTTATTCAAAAGTAACAAGTTCTCCTATCTAAGTACTTTATTTTGCTTCGCGTGTGCATCAAATTTGCATAATAATTGCTTTATGCGGATGTGCGGTGAACAGGTCCGTTGTTTGCAAGACATGCCTTGATGGTTTTTCAGGCTGACAACATTGTGCGAAAACGATGCACAATCGCGATTATTAACCAGATAAATATGCAACCCATACAAAATAATAAATATGGTGAAATTCTGCATGGGAATGATTAGAAGCGTTGGATTCTAAGTACGGAAAAAACATACCGGCCGAATTGAGAACTCCTTTTTGAAATCGGTTAAAATAAAACATTAGAGTTCGAGTCGAATGACGCCACATGGCTAATTTGCACATTAATTAAAAAAAAATCAGTCACACTAATTTTGTATATAATGAAATAAATCTTTGAAAGTTTTTTTTAAATCTGCAATACCATGTTCTTTTAATTACGGCTCACTTTAATTGCAGCTAATTTAATAAACCTTAATTCAACTACCCATACCACAGAAAAATATAGAAAAATGAAAATGTCAATTCGACTACATACAAAATTTGGCCTGTTTATTTGAGACTAGCAGTAGGCGTAACGGGTTATTATGGCCTGTTTCACTAACATTTGCTTTGGACTATAGAAATTACTCGATGGCATCAACAACTTACTATAAATACTATGCTTGTACAGCATGAACAACTTTTAAAAAAGTGTAAAAACCAGTTAAGGTTACGCTGCAGACTGCTGAGTGCCGCCATCTAGTTACAAACACTTACAACGTGTTTTACCTACCCTACGAAAGAGGGCGTGAATACACTCGGTAATTGTTCTCAATCTCGTATAGATGGCGTATAAAACAGCTTTTGCACTAGATTTTGTCGAAGTTTTTTTATTTTTCGATAAAAACTACATTTGTTTCGCTTCTGATTTTGAAAATAAAAAAAAAACCAATTTTTGTGAAAAAACTTTTTAGCGCTTTCTTGTACTGCCATCTAGTAGCACATTAATGAACCATGGTTTTACCCACCCCATCATGGATGGCGTGCATATGACATGTCTTTTTTGCTTATTGGTATTTATTTCAACCAGGTGGCGTACATGTGGTTTGTGTCTTTGTGCTTTACATGAAGTCGGTTTTAAGAACAACAGCATTATTGCTTGTTCATTGGTCTATTCATGGATGGCGCTTTTGTATTAATTTCTCGTTCGTGGCCATTGATGTGAACCTCGTGGCAAGCCCAAGAAAATATATCGGAAATATGTATGTATGGAACGGAAAGCAAAACCCCTTACAGTGACTAGCTGGCATCTATTTCGTAAGTATCATATTAATCATCTCAGCAGGTTGCCATGAATACCGTAGAAAGGAAGTTTGTAAAATAATATGGTATAATCAACCGTGTCAAAAGCTTTACTAAAATCTAATTACATATATACAGATATGTAAAAAATACATTAAAAAAAGTATCTAAACACAAAATACAAGATACCAGGTAGTCAAGTATAGTATATAGTATAGTAGATAACAGATACAAGATACTTTTGGAAAAAGTATTTGAAATACCAGATACAAGATACGTATTTTCAAAATACTTTTTTAAGATAAAGATACTTTTTGAATCCAAACATGTTAGCAATATAGCCAGTTTGCTGTGTCTGTTTTTTGATAACAAAACCGTTAGACCACGAACCTAAAGACGTGGCTGCTTTTCTTCCAATCATCAAATTCATCATCATCATCTTACGATTGATCTTACTTACATTCACGTTTCTTCAATATTTATCAAGAATTATGAATTAATGATAGTTTCGGTGTAATTTTTTTTCGATATTCTGAAAGTGCAGAGAGTTATGATTGGTCAGGTTTAGGATGGGTGACCATGATTATGAATATGCCGGTTGTTTGCGATTGGTTTGGTTTGGGATGGATGACCGCGATTATTAATAATATACAGGTTGTGTACGATTGGTTGAGTTTGGAATGGGTGCAGTGTTTACGAATGTCATGTTCAAGAGATGATATCATTTATAAGCTCCGGTGTCTCTCTCTCTAATTATAATTAAAGATAATAATCAGGTTATTTTTACAAATAATTATTTGTAAAAATAACCTGATTATTATCTTCATTTCACTCCATTACAAAACAGACCAAAGAAAATTTACACAAATTTCTCTAGTGAACGCTAACAAAAAAACGTACCTTAGGGGAAGGTACGTATTTTTTGTTCACTACCACCTAACCCATAACATTAAGGTGAACGAGACGGCAACACATGAACTTACGATTTTCTTTTCACGGTGTATAAAGTTGATAAAAAGTTATGCACTTAAGTTTATAATAGTATCGCGCTAATTTACACAAAGGTATATGTTTAAATTCAATGTTGAAAATTATATAGGAAAGAAAAAGTATCTTCGTAAAACAAGTATCTTCAAAATACTAAGATACTAAAAAAAGTATTTAAATACAAGATACAAAATAAATTTCAAAAAAATATTTTAAATACAAGATACAAATACGTATTTTGTATCTTGTATCTGTATCTTAGATACTTTTATCTCAGATAAGTCACATCTCTGCTTAAATAGGATCAACTTGACCTCTTGAGGCAAATGAATGACAATGGTTTTTTTTTAATTCCAATAAATTACTGGGTGTAGATCTTTCTCTTACAAAACCGTATTGTTCAGTTGAACTGAAATGATAATAGAAATTATCGTACACTAAATACTTACTCAAATAATAATAATAACTTTCAAAAACATACAACATACAATTATGAAACGTTAAATCCGCTATAGTTTTACAAAACTGTGTTGCAGAATTAACGCCCATTCCCGTTTAATGTGAATACAGTGTTCCTATCAATGTATACATAAATCAAACTGTATTTTTACTAAAAAGGAAAGTAAAATGAGACAAAAATATTCACAATTCACAATCCTTCGGAGGTAACTTGAAAAACAAAAAAGCATTTCTGAGTGGATTTCTATCAACATTATAACAAAATAATACTGTATTTTACCAAAGAATAAGGATTAAAATAAAACATTTGATTTTTATGCTCACATTAGAAGGTAGGTAAACAGAGATAATACAAATCTATTAAAATAGGGTATTTACCAGTATTAAAAATAAAGTGCCAATTGTTAGCATCTGTATTTAAAATGAATATTGGAAGGAGTTTTTACTATTTTACGGAAAAAATATTCATAATTTTACTTAAAACCCACGATAAAGATAATATTAGTTTTGTTGTCTTTTGTCACGTGATCCAAAACGCTTGGGATTGGTGGCGCCTAAAATGACGTCACATGCAAGTAAACTTCCGGTTAAATTGATATTAGATTGTATGGTTTGACGTTTCAATAACAGTCGTGTGACGTCACACACCAGTGAGACGCCATATTGTCCAGAGATACGTTTTTCGCGGCAACTTGAAAATAGAGTTTTTGATTTAGTTTTTTTTACCGAAATACGTAACATAATTATGAATATCCATCTTTTTATGGACTCTATAAACATTAGTAAATAACGTGAGATCGTTTTCTAAAACTTGTCAAATACCCTAACTACCAGGTCACTAGAAAGTAATAAATCATGATCTAGCTAGATTAATAATTTTGCTATGCATGAAAGAATGCTAATTGGGAGATAGTTTGCGCAAGCTGTTCTGCCGTCAGATTTAAAAGTGGTATTCAATACTTCGCACTTTTTTTTACCCGTCGAGGTTCCTTTGTTACCGCTTTTACATAATATACGTTCAGTTTTTAATTATCAACTTGCTCACATTGGACGCAGTGTGATATCGGTAATTTATATGCTAACTCTGCATCAAGATCCGTGAGTATGGAAGGGATTAGCATATTTTCCGAGTTTTCGTAATGAAGGGGACGGTTTTTTACTTTATTCTTTATTTAGCATTATTACCCACGTCTTAGAATTGCCAAACATTTTTAAAAGTGTACCTATTCAGTTGCACTCGTTTCGCAATATTTGCATAAATCTAAAGGCACAAAGATAGTAACAACTGCGCTCATGCCAAAAGTCTTTCAATAAGTTGGACCGTTTGGCGAACAGTACCCCGATACGATACGAATTCTTACCACTGTACCCCTAGCACGAACCACTATCGAATTCGTATCGTTTGCGAGTCTGAAATGACATTGCCAAATTTGTACTGATTTTTAGTTCTGGTTACGTACTTTGTGCCGCTGCTGTTCAAGTTTCCATACAAAATTTGACATTGACATTTCGGTTTGCAAACTATTCGAATCCGATAATGGTTCGTGCTAGGGGTTCTGGTTTTTTGTTTGGGTTCTGGAAAAAGAGTCAATGTCACATTGATCAAACATTAAATAAAATAAAATATTACTGGAGTAATGACTACTACTAATATAATTTTATTTTTTGAGCATTTAATTGCTAGATGCTACATCTAAAGAAAATTTTAGTAGAAAAAAATCCACGCGTACTTGGCAGCAGACGGGACTAGAATCCGCATCCTCCGCTATCTGGGCGGATGCACTGACTACTATGTTTCCGCGGCCCTCATTGTCCGTGTCGAATTTCCTCCAGCATTTCTTAGGCTACAAGGCAACGCTATCTCTCCGCATTGTAGGTAACCCGTACCTTATACAAATTCAAAAGCATAAGTTCTTACAGCTTACAGAACATCAGGCACAGAAAACTAAATACAAAAATAAGTCAAAAGTGTGTAAAAGTCTCACGAATAGCGCATACGCACGGCGTAATTATAATATTTGTCTTCGTTCTTTATTCAAAACTAAACAAAATGGCTACTGGATAATAAAGTCCGATGAACCTAATTTGATACTTTATAAACATTTCATTTGGGGTGGATAATATTATATAAAATAGTTTTTGACGTGATAAAGTCTTATAAATCAATGAACACCCACAGCACGTGCGAAAAAGTGTCACGTTCCGCCTGAGCCTGAGCGTGCAAGCGAGAGCGCAGAATAAGCGATAGAGAGGCACGATCAGCCCAAGCGTCGGCTTGCACACATTTATCTCTTATCACGTAAAACTATCGTCTGTAAACCGACTTGACAGACAACCAATTTTTTTTTATAATGGAGTTCAATGTGGATCATTACTAGGCCAGCAAATCAACTCAAAATCAACAGTATAATGATCTAATAAGCTTTTGAATTAATAAACTTTTTAAATCATCGAAATCGGTTCATTCGTTTCTTAGCTCTATAAATCTGCATTCTCAACTGAAATCGTTACGGATCCTTATTAATGAAACAGCTGATGCAGTAAAAATAAAGTGGTGCAAAGGTCAGGGAAAACGCATCATCCCATTTAAAAAATCTTCATTATTTGTCATTTATTAAAAAGTTATATCGTTATATATATAGAGAAAATAATCAATAAACATAATTAAAGAAAATATATGGTATACTTTACAACAGAATACTCTCAGATTGTTAAGCGTATAGAAAAGTCAAAGAAATGCTGGGTCAACACATATCAGAATTTAATAATAAAAAAAATACAAAGTATCATGAACGCTCGGATACAGTCCGTACTTTAGCTAATACGATCACGCATCACATCCGGTACTTACTCTCAATTTGCGAGCTTGTGATGCTGTGGGAGCTTTGTTCGATATTTCATCGACATGTGCCGCAGACAAACAATACGTTGCTACACAGCCATACTGGCTGATATAAATTAATGGTCACCAATCATTTTATAAAAGATGCAGAATAGTTTTTCTTGTTCATTTTAAAATTGTGGCAAACAAGTACACTTGCGGACACATCTATCGGACAGCATTTTAAGGTTTGACGGTTCTTAGCTAAAAATAAATGTTACATTGAGCAAAAAGGCCTACGCAGTTTTTAATCTGATTCATTTACCATATTTTCGTGTGTTTTAAAATTATTGCTTAACGATAAACATATCTTTTTGCTATTGGCCGTTGAAACTTATTACACTAAGTGGGCCGATAAGATATCAAAAATATCACTCGCGCCGTTGCCTACCCTGATCCAATCCCCTACTCATCACTGGGTCAGGGTACGCAAAGGCGGATTCCTCGTTCAATCGGAGCGCCCATCAGGGGAAGTAACTTCCACCTTACAGAAGACCACAGTAAAAAAATCACAATTTTGGTGGTGTTGTGTTTCTGTCGGTGAGTAATGTTCCAGGGCTCCATGGGGTGTCCTGCGCCTTAGAGGAGGCGGGGACAATGAGGAGGAAGGAGCTGCGCCGACGCGGAAGAAGGTGAAGCGAAGGAAGGGCGCTCCTGGGGAGCGTATGGAAGAGGGAGAAGGGTCTGTCACCCGGAACAATCCCGTCCCAATGAAGGAATTCGCGGGCAAGGTCGACAGGGGCCTGCAGTTCATCGAGGATGTGCTGACCAAGGAAATCGGCGACGAGCGGACGTTGGACTCGATCTTTTTAAGGATGAGGCAGATATGGGAACTCGTATCATGGGTCTCTGAGAATGCAGAAACGGTGGAGCGACTGGATGAGGTGGCAGCGGAGAACGTCCGACTCCGTAAGGAGAATGAGGGCCTAAGGGCGGACATTGAGTCCATGAAGAAAGACCTCGACTCATTTAAGAGGACGGTGGAGAAAGGGGTGCATCCCGCGCAAATGATGCATGCGGTAGCCGAGGAGCTGAAACGCTCCCTTATGATTTCCATAGGGAAGATAGTCAGCACTCGGCTGGCCTCCTTCGCGGAGAGGCTCCAGCTGCCACCAGTGAAGAGCCCCAGGCCACCACTGGCGGCGGATCGCGGCGAGGCGACCGCAACAAAGGTGACGGAGCAGTGGAGTGTCGTAGCTGCTAGGGGGAAGCCTAAGAAGGACAAGGGCACGACTCCTACGGCAATCCCTGCGCAGAAGAGGGTCGCGCAGACCGGAAGTGTCCCGAATCGGAGGAAGGGTGAGGAAAGGGCGCCGCGTATTAAGGTGCCGGGTACCGCCGCGGTGGAGTTGAAGTTGAGGCCTAGGGCGGAGGAGCTAGGTCTCAACCACACCAACATCGTAGAGATGGCGCGGGCGGCCTTTGAGCTGCCGTCCGTCGGCATAGAGGAGGGCCTAGTTATCAAGACAAGTCAGACGGGGTCCAGACTCCTGCTAGTCTCGGGCCCAGATAGCAGGAGTAAGGCGGATGCCCTCGCCAAAGAATTGATAGAGGTGGTTGACGAATATGCCGAGGTCGGTAGGCCCGAAAATAGCGTCGACATCCGGGTGACTGGGCTGGATGAGTCCATCACCCTGGAGGAGCTCCGGGAGGTGGTAGCTAGAAAGGGGGGCTGCTCCACCCGGGAGGTGACGGCGGGGGGAGGGAACCCCGGGCCGGGAGGCATGGGAGGGACACTCGTCTGATGTCCCGCATGGGCCGCCAAGAAGGTGACGGAAGGAGGAAAAGTCCAGGTGGGTTGGAGCCTGGCAAGGGTGAGGGTCCTACACCGGCGCACACACTGCTTCCGGTGTATGGAGAGGGGGCACGTGGCCGCAAGATGTCCGGCCAGGGAAGACCGGAGTGCACTTTGCTTCCGGTGCGGGGCAACGGGGCATAAGGCGGCGACGTGCACCGCTCCGCCGCCCCGATGCGCAGTGTGCGCGGCGAGTGGTCGACCGGCCGAACACAACATGGGGAGTGGAGGATGTGACCCGCCGGTCACAAGGGCCAGACCCCCTGAGAAAGGGCCCTCTGAGATGTCAGCGCCCGTACGGGTGCCCTCAGAGGGAAGGAGCGGCCGGGAGGGGAAGAAGAACGGGAAGAACTACGCTTCCCCTCCCAGTCCTCCCTCCCAGAAACGGCGGCCCTCCCCATGTGGTTCTGTCTGCAAGGGGGGGGGGGGGGGTGACGGAGGGCCACAGCTTTCCGCAGCGGACAGGGGGCGGTACAGTGGGCACTAGGCCGCATACTCAGCCCCCACGCGCGGGCCTACCTACGCTCGTCTGCGGGGTCCCCGTAATACCGCGGGAGACCTTTTTTAGCGGATATTATACCGTAGAGGATTTTTTTAGCGGATATTATACCGTAAAGCGCCCGTAACAGTTGCGGGGTCCTCGGTGGGTAGCCACTGGGGAGTTCGTAAGACTTGCGGAAGCCAGGTGTGAAGTCCGTTCGGCGGTGTGCCTCTTAAAGGCGCCGTCGTCTGTAAAATGATTTTTACCTGCGTTAAAAAAAAAAGGGCTCCACGGGGTTTTTTTTCTTTTTTTTATATAGAGGTAGGCAAATGACTCTACCCCACCTGATGTTAAGTGGTAATAAAGTCCAAACGCGAAGATAGAAGGTACAGCAGTTATAAACTGCTACACCAATCATCCTCACCTTGCCTGCCTGCAAAAATGCTTCTTCACGCCTCTTTTAAAAGACCCCAGATTATAGAAAGGAGGGAACACTTGCGCTGGTAAAGAATTCCACTTACGAATAGTACGACAAACAAATGAGTCACCAAATTTCTTTGTTCGTGTAGGTGGGTAATAGTGGCAGTGACACAGTAAGTCAGTGGCAACGTAGGCCAGCGCGCGTGTTCCTGTGAAGAAAAGGTGATGGAGGGATAAGGGAGAATAACTCCTCAGAACACTTGCCGTGGTATAGTCGGTAGAATGCGCTTAATGATGCCACATCGCGGTGTAATTGTAGAGACTCGAGTTTCTTAGTTACCTCTTCATCGTCAATGATGCGGGCAGTAAGATCGAGTAAGTAATTAGCGGAGCCATCCTTGAGGTGCGAGCAATATTCCATGCAGGACCGCACTTGCGTTTTGTACAACAAACACAGTAGGCAATTGGGTTAGGGTAGACAACGATGCGAGCCATATTTTCTTTTTTTTTTGTTTCCTCCCAGGCGGGGGATCGGGTGAGAAATCCTCATGGATACCACGGTCCCTCAAGGGGGGGTCGATATTTTTGGAATCGCAAGCGTCTTTACGCTATGGTGGCCGATTACCATCAGGCGGGCTGTAGGCTTGTTTATCACCCTTTTAATAAATAAAAAAAAATACAAATTAATTAAAAAAAAAACGAGAGTGCTTATGACCACACAACTGAAGTGAAACTTCTTTAACTTTAACTCAAATGATCTGAAAATCATACACTAACATGAAGATTTGTTGATAGAAAAGATACCACTAATCTGCGCTGGGTCCGTTATCACCCACCAATCCGCGCTGAGTCCGTTATTACCCTCCAATCCGCACTGGGTCCATTATCACCCACCAATCCGCGCTGGGTACCTTATCACCCACCAATCCGCACTGGGTCCGTTATCATCCACCAATCCGCACTGGGTTCGTTATCACCCATCCAATCCCCAGCGCGGATGTTACCGCCCACCAATCCGCACTGAGTCCGTTATCACCCACCAATCCGCGCTGTGTCCGTTATCACCCACCAATCCGTGCTGGATCCGTTATCATCCACCAATCCGCACTGGGTCCGTTATCACCCTCCAATCCGCACTGGGTCCATTATCACCCACCAATCCGGGCTGGGTCCGTTAACACCCACCAAGCACTAGCATTTTGATTCATGAACTATTCATGTATTTTGTGACGGGTATTGTTCATTGTTTACCGATGAGTCACCGGTTACGCGTTACGCGCGTAATGCAAAAATCGTCACACATTCGCCAGTTTACTCCCCAAGTCAAGCGTGCCTAAAGATTTTTACTTCAAAACCGCCAAGTAGACATTACCTTTTGCTGTTGTGATTTTTGAATGAGTCGCATGAGTCAGGTTTACGGGTTCCAAAGCTTCACGGAGTATGGAATTCGGGTCCAACTCGCACGAGAAAGCTTTTTACAAATAGTGTTCCAGTCGGTCTGCAAGATAATTTGTCATTTTCTGGTATGAAAAAAAAGGTTTATTTACAAGTTGAACTTATTGAAAATCACAAAAACGTTCATCGCATTTATATTTATCTTGCGAAAATAATTCTTGATTCTAAGAATTTTTATGGTGCGCAGTATAAAATCAATATTGAAAAACGGACATTGTAAATTTCTCATCTCACAAGTTACAACTAAGAATCCAAAGGGCCACTAATTTATGAACTAACTTGATTTAAAAAAACTCAATCTTTATCCTTAATTTAATAACAGAGAAGGGCTTTATTGGATCTAGTTCATTAAAAGTTCGCTATGCGACTGGAATACCCTGTACCGTAATTAATTGTTAAAATCAAAGATTTAGGGGAATTAAAAATGTAGAAGCTATTTTTGCCTCCAAGTTTTCTCTCCTTACAAAGAGTACCTAGTTTTAAACATTATCTATACATCGCTTAGACGCTGCAATTTTTGTTTTTATTTAATAATTCTCATAAAGTTCTTACAAAAATATATTTTATGCACATTAAATCTTTGAAAATCTTTGTTTCAACGGCACCAATTTACAAATCAATATCGCGAGCAAGCCAGTCCCCTTCCTAAGATGATAAAACTTATTAGGTATTTTTGAATTAAGACAAATGAAAGACGACAAAATATATATAAAAACAATACAATTGAAATTTATATACTTCAATCGATGGATGGTGGAGCTCGATGGCGCAAGTGGTTAGCGCGTTCGGCTTCGATCGTTCGATCGTTGAAGTTAAGCAACTTTCGCAGTGTATTCCAGTCATGGATATTTAATATGTATTTCTATATGTACAGTATATGTATTCTTTCCGTTACCCTAGTATCCCATAACACAAGCCTTACAGTGCTTACTTTGGGGCTAGGCTAATTGGTGTGAGTGTTGGAAATATATTTATTTATAGACAACAACGCCTTTTGCCGTAATTACATTTGGTCGCTAGCCTGTATTCAGGTGCACGAAAGACATTACTCGAATTCAGGCACCCAAAACAATATTTACACTGGAATACGGGCTGGAAGCTCTGGCTGAGAGGCTCGATGGGGCGCAGGTGGTTAGCGCGTTCGGCTGCGATCGTTGTAGTTAAGCAACTTTCGCAGGGGTAGGTCATTGGATGGGTGACCAAAAAAGATATTTCTATCTCGAGTTCCTCCGTGCTTAGAAAGGCACATTAAGCCGTTGGTCCCGGTTGCATCTGGAGTCGTTAGCACCCGCCAATCCGCACTGGGCCCGCGTGGTGGGTCATGGCCCAATCTCCCTATTCCATCCATAGGGTAGGTCTGTGCCCCAACAGTGGTGACATTAAGAGGCTGATGATGATGATGATGATGATGACGGGCTGGAAGACGGTGTCGGGTAAACAAAAGGAAATATACCCTAACTAGCAAACCAGTGAACCAAATGTTCACCAAAAAAAATGTATTTAATTAATTGAGAACTTCGGAGATTTTGTGTGGTTACGTTTGAAATTCGTGATTTCTCGAAAACCGGTTGGCCGCTGAAACAGCACCACAGACAGACGGACGGACGGACGGACGGACGGACTTGTCTAATAGATAAGAGATACTAGACTCCCATCATTTACACTTTTACCGTTGCGTTCGAATTCCATTGGCACTCCTATTCGGGCTTACGAATAAGTGTAATCGCGCCATTAATCCACATGGTATCCAGACTCGAATCATCGAAGACTTAATCAGCATGCGTTTCATTAAACACTTTAATTTTAGGATCGTACCCCAAGCACGACAACAACAACGTCTAGCGAGAAAGTATTCGTATCGCCATCGTCAAAGTTTCTACCGAAGTAGCTAGTTTCTTCTTACACCCGGTAGGGTAGGTATGACGATGGCGATACGAATACGCGTTTGTCAAAGTGGAACTGGAACTAAAATAAAAAAATTGTGTGCACAGACCACACATCTGAAGTGAAACTTATTTCCTTAAATAACCTAACATGAGCGGTGCATAAGGTATGGGGGAATTGAGCAGCGCACGCATCACTCATATATATATCGAGCGTCACACGCGAGTCGCTCCCCCCCTGGGGGACGATTGCTTCCGATGAAGCCTTAGAGGCCTTCCCGGCCAGAAGCAGTCCCTACGGGTGTTTTTTACCCGACTGCACAATACAAAAACGCGAAGCGCGACGCGCAGACAGGGTATAGTGTTTAACAGTCTATATATGTACGTATGTTTCTTTGTGGCACACTAGAGATCAAACGCGTGGACCGATTTTGATGATTCATACACCAATCGATTCGTCTTAATGGTGGTAGTGCTACTAAAGATATGATAGTAATCTAAATTCAATATGGAAACAACTAGGCGCCATATTGTGACAAAGTAAAAAAGATAATAAGTCAGTACGAGTCTTACATAACCTTGCAGCCGGCTGTAGGGTATCCATGACGATTTCTCACCCGCTCACCCGCCTGGGAGAAAACAAAAAAAAACGCGATATAAATAGTCGCGTGTGACGCTCGTGACGTTCGAAGCGTTTCAGCCTTCGCCGAG